AAAAATACAAACCACTCTAGATAGTTACTCATTTTATGAGGGTATTATTGCAAGTGAAAATTCTAGCCCGGAAGAATCCAATGATGATGATATTCATGAATATGAAACATCAGCAGATATAACTTCACGCTCTACTGTACTTCGCTCTTCCCAAATACTAGCTAAAAGAAAAAGCGGATCATCTATTTATAGAAAACCATCAAAAGAAAGCTGGGTATAGAGATATACTGGGCGTGATAAAACTACAAAGCAAAAGTATTGCAAAGTAAAAATAGATAATAGTAATGGTAATGTTGAGAAATGTACGACTATATTCCAACCCAGCACTTCCGTTACCAATATCGCTTCGCATTTACATACCATACATAGAATTTTCAAAGACCAAAAATTAGATGCACCTATAGTTCTTACAACTGAAAATCCTAATACTACAAAAATACAAACAACAATTAACTCTTTATTAGAGAGACGTGCTGAAATAACTCAACCACTTTCTGAAGAAAAACAAATTTGCGTTACTTATCGTTTAGTTGCTTGGTTAATTGAGGCAATGATGCCTTTAGATTGTATTAATCACGACCGATTTAAAGATTTCTGTTACGAAATTAATCCACGATTTGGAGTTCCCTATACTAATACAATTAAAAATAAAGTCGCGGGGTCAGTATTATATACACGGTCTAATTTAAATAAGCTAATAAATGAAACAATGATATCTGTAAGTTTTACAACAGATTTATGGACCCAAAACCATACCCCGTTTATTGGTGTAACCGCTCATTGGCTTGCAGAAAACTTTGTAATGCATCAAGCCTTAATTACAATAGAAAATTTTGACTACCCTCACACGGGTGATCGTATCGAAGACTTTTTGCGCAAAGTTCTCGTGGATTGGGATATAGAAGATAAATTGTTTGCAGTAAGTACAGATAATGCTGCGTCAATGGTAAAGGCAATTCGACAATTAGAAACCACTCACCTTGGATGTGCAGCTCACACAATTCAACTTGCGATTACGGATGGAATAAAAAAAAGTGACACCTTAATTGAAAAGGCCAAAGTAATGAATAATTTTCTTGTTAACCGTGATAAATATAGATCTCGGTTCCTTAGAATTCAGGCTAAACTAAATAAAAAAAAATATACATCAAATTCAACAAAGCAACCTAATATATTAAAGCCTATCTCGAGTGATACTGCTACGCGCTGGAACTCCATATATCTTCTTCTTCAAAGACTTATAGATCTTTGTGAAGTGATTATTGAATTAGCTGAAAATCTAGTAAAAGATCCTGATAGAGTAGTTAGATCAGACAGAAATAATTTAAAAGAAAAAATAATTGAAGATGAAGATTGGCAAGGATTAATTGAATTATGTGATCTTCTTCATTCTTTTGCACGTGCATCTGTTTATATGGGTGGGAACCAATATCCAACATTAGGAATGGTATACCCGACTATAAAACGTCTTTTTAAGCATCTTGATAATATAAAATATCAACTTACTTATTCGTCAGTTATTGAAACCCATAAATATCTTCATGAATCAATGTTAAATCGCTGGGAGGATCCTAATATAATTGGATGGCTTGCTACAATTTTAGACCCTCATTTTAAATCATTATCAGGTGCATCATCTGATGAAAGAAATGAAGTAATTAATGAATTACGAAAAAGAATTAATCTTTCTATGCAATCTAAAAAAGATTTATCAAATACTGTTAGTTCAAGATCTGATATGTCTTCATTTTATGATGATGAGATTGAATTAACCTCACCTGTTGATACTGAACTGCAAGTATACTTTTCCATTCCACCAATTCCTAAGTATGAGCTCACGGATCCTTCATACGAAAGCTGTAACTCTTTAAGTTAGTGGAGAGATCATCAAAATACTCTACCGCTTCTTGCTAAGCAAGCAAGAATCTTTCTCGCTGTGCTTGCGACTTCAGTGCCTTCCGAGAGACTTTTTTCCCATGCCGGAAATGTTCTAACTGATAAACGTAATCGCCTAAATCCTGATATGGTTCATGATCTGCTTTTTTTAAGAGAAAACTCACCGATCTTAAATGTTTATGTTGGATTATAAAATGACTAAATTGAATCTTAGTACTTTAATAAAAATGTTAAATATCCAAATTGGATTAAATCTGCAGGTAATTATTTATTAGTTAAGTAAAAAAAAACTGTGAAAAAAAAAGAAAATTTCCTTAAGATAAAATTTTGATTGTCCAATAATTTATTTTCGTGTCCCAAGTGGAAGTATTAGCTTGGTCGAGTCTTTCGTCATTATTCGAAAAAGGTTTCGTCTAACAACTATACTCGAGATCATAGATCTTGGTCCAAGGCCACTGATACTGGTCTGAGACCGTAGATCTTGGCCCAAGACCACCGATATCGGCTTGAGACCCAAGATTTTGGTCTCGGACCACTAGAATTTGAAAAATACAAATACAGCGACTAAATTAATGAAGAATGATCATTCTTTTTGCTCCGACCTAATAACTAAAAATAACAAATACATTCCTTAATAACCCGCTATCATTTATTCCGAATCCCCTAATGAACATCCATTTCGCAAAACCTATGCTTGTAATCCTGAGCTAATTTGACCTCACATTAGCCAAGTCTCTCTCACGATTACAACTAGAGTTGTTGGTGAAATTAGATTGAGCTGGTGAGACTATCTAAAATCTGATTGGCTATTATAGTAAACAGCTAATTGGATTTTAGATAGTCACCAGTTTCACCAGCTCAATTTAGTTTCACCAACAACTCTAGTTACAACACTGGTCACTCGAGAATTTTATTGCTTTCTCTGTTGGCAATAATCAGGGACAATAATTTTCTGTGGTCATAAATTGTTGAATATGATTGAGCGGATTCCATTCAATTAGAGAAATTGGTAAGGAAAATTTTATGCAGCTTGTCTTACTTAGTACACAAAAATAATTTTACAAAAGCCTGTGAATCACCTAGCACTATTACATTCAAAAAAATTTTTTTTTGAAAGATAAATTATTATTAATTGTATGGTTTATGAAATTCATATAGAACTAATACATTGTAAATTTGACTGAAATTAAATTACGTAGCAGTAAGTCTAAAATTTGTGGATTGATCAAAATGCCGAAACAAACGAATATATGATAGATAGTATTTCAATACGTCGATAATCGAGGTCTTAAGTTCTTAAAGAAGAAAATATAAGATCATTCGAAACTTATTGATTTTTATTAACTTGGCGAATTAGAGGAATTGGTCAAATTAAATGATCGAGAACAAGAACCCAACTAAATTATAAGCCCTATTTCTAGTCAATCTCCGCAAGAACAGAAGAAATCAAAAAGAATGGTACGATAAAAAGTAATAAAGCTAGTTTAGAAACTGCAAAATTTCCAGATAAAAAAAAGGTAGACAAAATAAATTTAACATGATAAATTTAACATGTAGTTTTAATAAGCGATTTGTTTAAAAAAAGTTGTATTTTAAAAGAGAAGAAAATGGTAAGGGCTTTAAATAGAACAAATTTTCATGATTTTACATAGAAACTAGATTAAAATTGCTTGCAGATACTTCATGAAGCAAAGTGGATTTAGATTAAAGAATATCTAAAAAGAAATATGAAAATAATCGGAAGGTAGTATTTATGAAATCATTCATTATATCGTCCGTTATCTTCGACATTTATCATTTAAACTTATCGTTTTTTCTTTACAACATGCAAATTCATTCAGATAATATTATCATGTGCTGAATGAAAATTTTTCTTTTTAGATGTTTTAGCATAAAACCATTTTTAAGCATCTTTATAGCAAGCTTACATAAATTTTTTGCATTTTGAAGTTAAAATTTTGCTCGGCAACAAATTTTTTTAGTATCCAAATAAAATTCTCTAGCGTAAATATGTTCAAAAATTGTAATATAAAAATATTTGATTTTAAAATTATAATTGACACGAAAGTGAGATATAACTGTTATCGCGAAAATTATATTAAAAAGTCTAATTTTTATATGATACCACATATGTTTTGTCTGCATAATCTTCAATTTCGTTAAACAATATATTTGTGCTGATTTGGTTACAAAAGTGGCTGCAGTAATTGCGAAGGGATATATATATATATATGTGGATATATTAATGACTTGAGGGCGTTAATGAATGAGTTTTTAAAGAAACGGATTTTGATGCTGTGGATAGGGATATTAGTCGGGTCAAAATGATCGACTGACTAAGCCGATTTTATAAAAATCGGCTAAGCCGGCTTAGCCGGCTAGATATCAAAATCAGGTGATTTCCATTTACGTATATATATATTGTACAAATATCG